CATTTGTGATGACGATCTATTATTTTGATTTGTTGTTATATCATTTGATACTTGTTGATCAACTTTATTTAAAAGACTTTCATCAAGTAATCGTTGAATCTAATGTTAAATATATATACATAAAACCAAAATAAAAATCAATAATTTAGTTTATTTGTTACCATTTGATGTAAAACAGCTAATTCATTTTTTAAATCAATATGAGCACATGCTAAATATTTAAGTTGAAGTTCTGTATTAGCAACACGTGATTTTAAATCAGATGGACGTTGATTTCGTGTTGTTTCTTCATTTGAAATTTCAGATAAATTTAAACTCTAGAAAAGAAAAATAAAAATAAAATTACATAATCAAATTTTATCACATAAAAAATGATTTACTTCAGTTGGTGATTGTAATATACCATCGCAATATTCTTTTGTTGAATCAAGTATTGATGGCTAAAATTTAAAAAACAAAATATCTAAAATCATGTTTTGTTTTGTTTTCTTTTTTTTTACTTTTTTTGGTTTTTTATTTATTTTACTACGTTTTTGTTGTTCATTACCAGGTAAACTACTATAATCTTCATCAGACGCAACTTTATCATAAAGTGGTTCATCATCACTATCAATAAATGCATTTATTAATGCAGCTGTTGATGATATTGATGATGGACCATTAACATTTAAAATATCTTGTGTAGATACAGACGCATTAGTATTTGACATATTTGTTTGATTATTTTGTCGTGGTAATGTATGAACTATTCGAAAAAAAGAAAATTGATTAGAAAAAATAGAAAGAAAATTTTATACATTTCGATGTTGATATAGGTGATACAGGTGATTGTTGAATAATACCATAATATCGACGACGAACTTCATTTAATATATCATAAATGAATGTAGTAAATTCTTTTGGACCATAACGTGCTAACTTTTGACGACCCTAGATAACAACAAAAAAATCGAAATAATTTAAATAAGAAATTCACAAATTTGAAAAACTACAAGGTTTAGTTGCCCGAAGACAGTTTTCTTTTGCCACAACTAGTTTGGACAGATAGTTAGCCTAACTGGAAGTCGTTTACAAACAGTAACTAACCATATACTATTCGAGAAGATCTGGGGTATGTCACAATGTGATCATGATACTATCGTACGGATAATCCGAGGCAAGAAACCGTTAGTGACTAACTTGCCCAAGGTCATACCTTGCAGCATGTGTCGAAAAACTTAAACCACCAAATTATAGAGCCTATAAAACCATAGAGATAATTTCAGAGAAAAATTATTGATAAAGACAAGAATTGTCAATAGGGATGAGTACTGCTCTGATAGACAAAAAAAAACAATAAATCAACTAATCATTACGATATTGGTATAGCTGACTTATATTAATTGACATTAGCATATAAAATTCTGTTAAAAACCAAGATAATGCAAAAAACGATTTATTGGTCTTCATCGATAAGATTGTTTGCTTAATTATTTTATGAACGTGAAAATTATACTACTTCAAACTGATGATCGCCATCTGAGCTTATATTAGGCCCAAATGGGATCTCGGTAAGACTAACAAAAATGTAAAAGGGTTCGTCTGCTCGAGCCTTTGGTACTGAATTAGCGCCGATTAACTGGACTTTTGACTTATTTGTAGATAGTTCTCGAACCTGATGTGGATGTCGGCCAGAATGGTTCCCTTATGAGCAGTAAACTATCGAAAAAATATTTCTAATAAAAAAACTTACTAATATTATAGAGGGAATCTTCTAAATTTCAAAATCATTTTTCAGCTCGAACTCTGTCCATACGCTAGACTCCAGCCAGGTATTGAAACCTCTAAAAGGATAAAGAACTCTAGACCTTTTCTACAGAGTTATAGCCGTTTTACTGATATTTTGCTCGTTCGCACTGTCTGTACAAAAAAATCGAATGACTATATATCCATAGATAGGTCTAATTGGAACTAGAATTTTCTCTCCACAAGACATTGAATTTCCTAAAAAGCACTCGAATTTTAGTAAAACGTCTACAACTCCTTCCAAAAGACCTAAATGCTTTTATCCTTTTAAAGTTTTTAATCTCTCATTGGAATCTACATTATACATAAAAATCCGAATTCAAAAGCAATTTTCAAGTTGGAAAGATTCCCTCGTAAGAAAAAGTCCTTTAACGCTTGTCATTTCATTCTAGTCTTCTTCATTCCAAAAACTGAAATTCAATCATACCTGATTTCGTGTTGCTGAAAATGCAGGATTAACTGGTAGAAATGGTACAACATGTAGAGAAATCAATGCTTTATCCACTTGTGCATGCCAAACTACATAATTAAATCAATTATATAATAGATGAAAAGATTTTAATCTTACTTGTATTTAATTCTCGTCGTTCAACTTCATCAAATACATCCATAGCAAGATCTTCAAAAAGTTGATCAGGTAACTGATATAATAAAAACAAAAACAAAATAGTTTTTCTTATTAAAAAATAATAATTCTTTACTTGTTGAAGTTTTTTACGAGCAAGAAGTGCTTGATCAGATATATCAAGGCTATTTGAAATAAAAAAAAAAAAAAAAGGTAAATGTATTACTATGATTATTATTTAATATACTTTTCATTAAGTTCAGGAAGAATAATATGTTGTCCTGTTTTATGATCAGATCGTTTACCACCAATAAAACAAGTAAGACGATCAGTTAATTCAAATTGAAGTTCAACTAATCGATCAGCTAAATCAAAATAACCATTGACTCTATAAAAACAATCATCATTAAAACAAAACCCATGAATATATCTTATTATCAAACCTTGCATGTTCTTCTGGTGACATTCCAGAATTATCAACTGCTGCTGGATCACCACCAAAAATACAAAGAAGCTTAAATAATTAAAATTTTAAAAAATAAATTAAAAATTATCATTAAATTTATTTTACTTCAATTTGATTTTGTTGACCACGACTTGCAGCAACATGAACAGATGATGTACCCGTTTCCTAACAAAAACATCATATTTCTTTTATTATTAATAAATTCTAAAAAATATTTTTTTTTTAACATACTGGATTTTTAAAATTTGGATCAGCACCTTGTGACAGAAATCTTAAACATGTAACAACATTATCTGTTCGAGCAATTGAATGTAATTGCTTGAAAAAAAAATCATTTCTATAAATATTTAAAATAAAAAAAAAACAATCATCCGTACTAAATGCAAATCTTCAAATGTTCCATTTGTTTCATCTTTTAATCGATTTATATAAGCCATTTGTTGATATTTTGTTCGAATAAAATCTGCTTTTATTCTTAATAAATAAATCAAATTATTTGTCAAATGTATACAAAAAAAGAAAAAGAATTTTCTTTTACGGTAATGCATCTTTAGCAGATGGTTTTTTTCTTGGTACTTTATTTTGTGGATCGAGTAGACCATATTCCCAAACAAGATTAGCACCATTAGAACTTAATTCATTTATTAACTAAGCAAAAAAAGAAAAATTCTAAATCATATTAAAATAATTTTCTTTGGTTACATTTAATTGATTCGGTGGCCAATAACTTCGTTTAAAAGATTTTATTTGTGATATATGTCGACCGAGACTTAAATGTACACTACAACATTCATCACATAGAAGTACACCATGATTGATAGAGCACCATTCGGGACCTTAGTAAACAAAAAAAATAAATATAGAAGAAAATGAGCTTTAACTAGATATGAGCAAGATGGTGTCAGGATTGGGATCAATACTTTTTCATTGGGAACAATACCTAAAACTTGCGACCAATGTCATACTGTCACGACTCATATGTTCGAAAGAGATACAGGTGTAAGGTGGCGTGTTGGGACTGTACAGTCCTAGAAAGGAAAATACCAACACCAACGACCACACATTCACACCTCTTGATCATATAAAATTGTTGAGTTATAACCCGACATATCCAGAAACAAGGTTTTTTCGTCCTGGTAACTTCTTGTCCAATAGTCCTAGTAAATCCGGTTTATTTATGGTCTCAACCAAGAGGGAATTGTTTCAAAATTTTTGCACAACAATTCTAGAAAATTCTCAAAGACACATTTTTTTGAGCTTCTGTCCTAAGTTTATTTTCATAGATATGATTTATCGACAAATCTTTAGTTCCAGTTGAGACAACTTATCTAAATGATCTCCGCCTCGACCTTGGCTCACAGAACCGGAACTCAAACTACTCTTGTACGTCTCTTTCTATGACAAGATGAAAATTAAAAAAATAAAGAAATGTATTCTAGTGAATACACTTCTGATCAAATAAGTTAATAACTTACCAGTTTGTCCACAATCATGACATTCTTTGACTGTTGTTTCTGAAGTTTTTGGCATTTTTATTAAAGATTCATCTAGAAATGATTTTCCAAAAAACAATAAATACTATATACACATACCTTCTTGTCCGTACTTTTCTTTTTTTTTTTATTTTTAAATAAACACATCATGTATAAACAACTATATGGTGGGTGAAAATGATAAATAGATCTTTTATCTCTCACATGAACAAGTCGAGAACAAAAAAAAAACAAAAAACAAACGAAAAGAAAGAAAAAAACATGATAAAATAATACACATAATGAGAGAGAAAGTAACATGAAAAGTCACTTTTTCTTTCATAATTGATCGTAAACTTTGCTTTTTTTTTCTGTTATCAACAAACAACGAAGAATAAGTCACAGGATGCAATTTTATGATTTAATGCTTTGTTTTTCTTTGTATGGAAGAATAGAACGTAATATTTGTTTCAGTTTTTTTTTTTTTTTTTGATATAATATATATTGCAAGTTCTACTGTACGATCTTTGAACCGAGAAACAAAAGAAGAAAAAAAAAACAGTAACGGAAAACGAACAAAAAACAAAAAGTAGCAGTTGCTTTTTTATCAAGGCAAAAAAATGCATATGTACATAGGTGAGAAGAGAAACACTAAAAGAAAAGAAAAAAACAAAAAAAACAAAACAGAAGAAGATTCGACATAGTCATTTTTCTATTGTCGTCGTGTGCGTTTCTAGAAAAACAAAAACAATACAAAATAGTATATATATATATATTTCAAGTATATTTATTTACGCGATCATTTGTTCGAACAATTGAATCACCATCACGTATTTTTGGATATTCAACTTCAAAGTAATTAAATAGTTTTTCTAGATTATCAGCAGATATTTTCGATAAACCATTTTTAAGTAATGTTTCTTTTATATCATGAACTGATTTATAAAATTCATCTTTTGATGATATCATACCACTCTAAAAAAAAGTAAAAAAAAAAACATTTACGGCTGTGCAAAGTTTCAATATTGATATACACGGCATAAGCGACGACAGTGTGGGTTGGTTCAAATATTTTTCTCCTTCCATTCTGGTTAATAGATTTAAGCAGCGCATCATGTTTTTTTTTTGTACAGACGTCAATCTATTGCACTATCTCCAGCTGCTAATAATAACAAACTTGCGCAGGAGTCTCCTCTCGATTTTAATTACTTTTTTTTGCATATAGATACTATATAGTATTCTAATAAAAACTGTGTTTCTATTGAGATTTGACTAAACTATCGAATATTAATCGGAAACTTTGCGCATATAGAGAACTCAACTAGCAAAAGTTTCTTCGAAATATGAGACTTTTAAGGTAGAGATCCTTGTCGATAGATAATGCATTTTTTGAAAGCTTCATATCTCGAAGAGACTTTGCTAGTTGAGTTCTCTGTATCCGAAAAGATTCAGATTGAAATTCCAAAACATGATTTTTCTGAAAATCTGAGAGGTCTAAGAAAAACTTCAATAGCTTAGTCAAATCTCAATAGAAACTCAGTTCTTATTAGAATACTATATAGTATCTACTAGCAAAAAAAAAATTATTAAAACAGAAAGGGAACATCTGAAGAGGTTAGGTCTCCAAATGTAAATCTCTGTTTTATGCCAGTTTGTAAAACTCAAGAAGCTAATCACGAATTAAATGAATTTTGAAAGAATAGTTGAACTCCGCACAACTCGTATTCTCTCAATTTTTAACTTTCAAATGTGTATCTTATAAAAAATATTCATCCTATTCTAGAAGGAAAACGTTCGGCCGCCTATAACCGACGGTAATCCTATTCTAATTAAAAAAAATTCTAATGAATATATTTCAACGCCTTTTTATGTGTATATGTTATCATATTATGCTAATTTACAATTGAACCTTGACGTTCGCATAATAAAACTTGTTTACTAGAATTTCATTAAACACATAATGAATAGCTTCTTGTTGTATGTCATCTTTTCATCACCCAATACGTTTTAATAAAAACACAAAAGTTTCTAGAACTTACAAAGAAAAGTTTTTTTCTTTATATATGCACCTTTTGTTTAATAAACTAGACTAAATTCTGTTCGACACTGCGAACACGATTATTTTTTTTTTGATAAGTAATGAATTTCTTTTTATTATTTCAGCAATTACAAAATAATCGTTTTTGACTTTATCTTATTGAATACTATTGCTGATGGCATTCC